AAATCTTAAAATCCCATGCGAATCATAAATGTTATAAATCTTCGGGCCTATTTCTCGTGAACTTGCTATAATTGCCTTATCAAACGTACAACAGGAATTTTGTGGAATGTTTCGGTGTAGTCCGTTTTCAAGATCCTTTGCAAAGGTTTACAAGCATAGAGTCACTCATTTCAATTCACATGCTAATTTTTTTTTGGATCCATTGATTCATCTTAAATTAAATTGGTTTGAACATTTCACTTAAAAAATAATTAATAAGAATGGTTTTTCAATGAATTACGAAACTTATAGCTTATCAAAGTTAAGTGATGAAAGTCTTTGGTTTCTCTTTTTTTTTTGTAATCTTGCGGGTCCTTCTGTTTACACTTATACTTTGTTTGGTTGACTTTAAGAAGGAAGATTTGTTGAAATTCCTATCATTAGCTTATTTCATTGAAAAAATTCATTCATGTAATGATATGAATAAAATGAAAAAAAAGAATACTTCAATGCTTCATTCTTTTTTTTTGGCGTTTTTGAGTAAATTCATAATGATGGTACAAAGTATGTGAACTGAATAAATTATTAATAAAAAAATATATAAAAATGAATTCAACTGAGCAAATTTTTTAAATTATTGTCTGTAGATGTATGCTAATGTATGAATAAGTTAAATATGTTTTATTTCATGTTTATATCTTCAGTCATTCATTGTATTTGAATGCTTAATTGACCTAAAATAATAATAACGTACATTATTACCAAAATCCATTTCTTCATGTTTCGAAACTAATAATTTCAAGGATACAGAAGTTACCAGAAAACGGTGGTAATAATTTAGTGATAATCTTATAAAAAGGGTGATGTGCGCGAGTTTTCGAGTGTTATTAAATTCGTCTAAAACTTTCCAGCCTCGCATCATGACGTTGAATATTGCATGAAATACAATGAATGCTCGGTCCGACTGGTGATGATTTCAAGTTAATTAATTAGACTAGGCGACAATAAATCTGGAATGAAGAAAGTAAGTGAAGAGGTAACTTAAAGAGTTAACTAAAAGGTGCAGATATAGGAGAGGAAAAAGCTTGAGGTATCTCAAGAACGCAGATGATAGACTAGAAGGATTCCCATTCAGTCAAATTTAAGTTTTAAAATCTCATTTGAATATTACATTATCAATTCTGACTACAATTGTTGAAAACGAAAAATATTACGGAAGCCATAAATAAATTATTGGTAATGATGTGGTAGTCTGAAACACACAACACACAATTTTGAATCAATTTTTATTACCAAAATTTTAATTTCATTCATGAAAAATGATTCGCAAAACACACTTGTAAACTTTTGCAAACACGAAAAAGTTGTAAATTAAAACTCCAAAATTTTGAAAATGCAGGAAAACAACGACGAAGAATGTATATAATGGATGGATGGAATGACTATTATAACCGATGATTTGAAGATTATATATAAGAAGTGATGGGAAGGGATTTGTATACAGATGACAACGGCATAACTACATAAGGAAATGATATTTCCCGCTGAAAAATCTATGTAAAAGATGACTGGGGAATGAGAGATGAATGATTCTAAAAGCATAAGTTCGAAAATGTTGGAAAAAAAAAATGTAAAAAATACTAACGTGAAGAGTTCTACAACTTACCTAAAAAAAACCAATATCAATACAAAACATTTACAGTTTTCAAAAATCCTAATCATTCTGCTGCACTATTTTACTTCCAAAACATTATACTGTCAAGTAACAGTACTGAAAACACAATGAATAGTTTGGTTTCACTCAAGAATCACACATTTGAAAATTGTTAAATGCATGCTTTGAGATAATCATCAGACAATATCACTATTAAGTAAAATACTTGTTAAGTTAGATAAAGAGATAGTTCCGGTAATAAGGAAAACGAACAGAAACTTTACAAGAATGAAAAATGGTGGAGTACGAATACATTGATAAAACGCTGGGAATTAAATAGGAAATTGATCATAAAATCAAAAAAGAAACTGGAATAATACAAAGATTTATGGTACAAGACATCGCAACAAATACGGAAACCCTTAAAAATTAAAACATAAAAACGTGCACATTCCTGTAGTCCATACAAATGTATTATGCAGATTTAAAACGGAAAAATGCCTGCTATTGGAACTAACACAATGAATGGGAAAAAAAAGTACGGAATTGAAAAAAGGAAAAAACTGAGAGGCAGACTATGAAATCTAAAAAATTTTGAAACCAAGGAATGAAAACTGAAAAAAAACAACAAAGAAAAATGGTCACCTCTCAACCTCATCACCAGTTAGCAGCACCAATGGTAGTCTAACAAATCGGACCTTACTTATTTTCCATTTTCTAAGAAAAATAATCATTTAGGTTAAGGAGTTTTTTAGCCATCAAGACTAGGTTATTTTACAAAGTTACTTAACCACGACTTGCCTAATACAGTTTAGAGTTCAGTCACGATTTTCTGAGTTCAGCATAACATGTATTCTCAAGCGATTTGGCTTGGTATCAGAAAGACCAAAAATTACTGGAAACACCACACCAAAATAACTACATTTGTAAAAAAATGAAAAGAAAATAAAGACTAACTCCATACCAAATCAATTTTCTCTCTTGCAAAATCCCGATCCTTCTAACGTGAAAAAGAGTCAATTGAAGGAAGTTTAAACCACGACGAAATAGCTAGTCATCTAAACAAATATTTTGCTTTACTGAACTCAGAAAATTGCGGATCAAAACCACAGTTGCCAGTGATGCATGAGGAAAGTTGTAAGTTAGGTAGAAAACACTTCCTAACTGCTAAAATTAACTAAAATAGCAAGAATAAGGGCTTATTCTTAATTCCAAGACCAAAAATACTAAACAAAACTTGAATTAAGCTAAAAATAGCATATGTTAAGCATGAGGTCCTGATAACCGTTGAGATCCTTTTTCCACTATGAAATAAAATATATAAAATAACGAAGTAAAGAGGAAATCACCACACGATTCTTATTTTATACATGTGAGACGTTTAAATGAACAGATGTCACAAAAATTTAGTGAACTGGCATGAAGAATGCATACTGATATCACATGGATGACTAGTGCTTTGGCAGCCACGTCGTATTCACTGTGGAAAAATCTGACTAACATCCAGGAAAAATTTCGCCATTCGAGTCATTTCTATCTGGAAAGAAAATTCTGATAAACTACATATTCGGTGAATTGTCCCAGATGCAAAGTACTGGAGAATTTTTTTCCCATATAGTGAAGATGTCCAAATTAAACTACAAGCAGGACTTGTATTGAAAAACACGAAAGTTATGTAACAAGAGATAATTAAAATTTACCTGGTGAGGTGTCTCCCCGCAAGTTATTTGAAACCACTTTTTTGAGTTCTAGAAATATTCAAGTTTTAGAGCACAATAAAAGAAAGACAAATGATAATTTCAGAAAAAAATATTTGTGAGAACTTCGTACTTCCTGCATAACAATAATTATATCGAATATCTTATAGTGAGATTAAAATGATGAGTAACTCTATCCATAGGCTGCACAACGAACGTGAGAGTAAACAAACACTAAAGTTTTACCACTTTAAGCGCTCTTACTGGCGGCCTGAATGGCCTGTTATTGTAGTTGGTTTCACGAAGACACACCCGACTTGAATTTGCAGCTGTTGAATTACTTACAAATCTCGGGTAGAACTGTTCAACCTGAAAATGAAACTTTTTAGGCGACAAATCTTCCATTTTCAGTTTATGTTATAGATCATGTATAAAAAATGCGGACCCTTCGTTGCGACAGGTTTGCCTTTTCTAGTTGACTTATCCTCGTTACTGGTAGAACTATAGCTTCATTGTCAGTGCTTTTTACAGGAGATAAGAAGCCAGCGGTGTGTAATCTGAACTGATCGACTGGCTCACACAAACTGCAATCAAAATTCATATCCATAGCAACATGGAAGATATAAAACAGTTTCTAAGTTGCGAAATTAAAGTGAATGAGAATTGACCAACAGAGGGTGCACTGACACCCTTCTTTCCAAAGATGCAACCTGCCTCAATCTTCAATAAAACACTAGTGAACCGAAGTGAAGACGTTTCGCCTTTTTTTTTTCCACCAATTAAATCTCAAAATCTGATTCTTTTCCCTGTTGTACTCATCTCTAAAGATATAACAAATGTTCCACTTCTATTCAACGTTACGTTCGAAATATCTCTTTGCAATGGAAGTTTTTAGACGCATCACCAAGTGAAAGCGTAATATCTAATATTTATCACTTGTGTATTACTGCAGTTGGTTAAGAAGTACTAGCACATGCTCCACTGATTGCAGATTATGAGCTCAACTACTTGTAAACAGAGACATTATCCGAATAATTAGTTCAACGTACCTGCTTTCCAGTGGACCATTAGCTTGTTCAGGTATGGTATAATGTGAAGGTAGGAAGGCATGACTCCTTGAAATTTCATCGTTTGGACTGATATGCAATGGGGTTGATGTAAGCAATGAAAAGCTATCATCAATGAAGCCTGCAGCTATATTCTGGAAGCGAAAAAAAAAATGATGCACTTCATTTGCAAATATTTTGATGCATCCCAAGATTTAAATAATACAAATACAACGAACATTTTACAATCCAGAACTGTTCACTCAATGTACAGATTAAAAATAAGGGAATGCTTCATTGATCACTTCAACTCTTATCGGAAGCATAGTTGCAAAGATACTCCGGATTGGAGTGGGATTGTCATTCAGATAATGGTTTTTCAAAATTACCTCCCTTATTTCTAAAAAAAGTGACACAAACCATTTCATTTTTAAACCCTTTACTTGGCGTTTCCACCATCCCATATGAAATAACGGAGTCCGTAACGTTGTCGTCATTTTCATCATCAAGTGATGGCCTGAAACAGAGAGAAACTTTAAATTTTGAGAAAGCATAATCATTCTTTTCTCTTAGAGTTATAGGAAATCATTGTTTCAAAGAACTAAAATATATGGAAATATAGTTTATCTAATTTATAAGGAATATCCCGTATTTATCATGCGACACACATGCTCGAGCAACTTCAATATTTAGAAATTGGTCATGCAAAATCGATATGTAGAAAAAACCATCTGGCTTCACTCATTACCAAACTATTACTACACCATTCAATTTCATACCTTAAGGAAAATAGTATGGGTTTCAAACGAACGACAAGCTAACCGGAAAGATGAGTCTTTGAAAGAAGTAGACGGTATTGCTCCATTTAATGCATCGTCCGCCATATTGATAGGTGTTTCATTTTCTGGCACACTTGTCCCACTAAATCTGTATTCTGCAACAAAAGAATCACTTTGGAATTCGATTCCTGAATTAGGAAACAAAAATTGGAGAGTAATTACTGGCAAAAGTTCGCTAAATGTGAACAAGATCCCTCGTCAGATATACTTTATTTTCATCAGCTTTGCTTAGTTGAATAAAATTAGGGTCGAAACATCAACGTCAATAACGATATACCAAAATAACTATTTGATTTAATCCTACGGCTATATTACGGTTCTGGACACAACCTATGGTGCTCTTTTCAATATTACAAAACGAAAAACTTATCCCTACACCCCATGTTTTTTTAATTGCTTGTTCTCATCTGTCGTTTACCTTTTCGAGGTTACATTTATGCTAAGCCTTTTCGAACTCGTGGTTCCTTCCTCGTTCGTATTACTTAAGTATCACTTAAGTAAACGAACAAAACTGCTCAGATTTTCAGCGCAATGTTTCAACCGCCGAGAACTATATACTGCACATGGCTGAACATCAGCTCATCGAAGAAGACTTATAATGTTTGCTTTTTTTTAAGCACTTCTTTTAATCGACTCACATCAGGTTGGTTGTCGGTGGACCTATGCTTTATCAAAATTCAAAATTTTTACCAACAGCTTTGCCGGGATCTGATAAGCGGAATTTCGACGGAGGCGAACAATTCTCTGGTGGACAGAAAGCATCGCTAAATGCAGACACGTGGAGAAAAGACCTAGAATTTTACAGATTAAACCAAAATATATAAGATTGACTGTAACCAGTTTAAACAAAGCCATAAGTATCTAAAAGAACAATGTCAAAAGGTGTCTAAATATGATACTGCTGTCCCCGGAAAGTGAAACATTAGAAAGAAAAGCTTTATGCACCACCACGATGTGCAGAACATTTATATCAGTTCAAATCACAAGGTAAGACTTCAATGTATATTTTTAGCTTTTTGAATTCATTAGGGATTTCTTCGTTATTTCTACATTGCCACTGACTTCCTTGAATACTGGTCTATTTCCACACAACTTTTTAGCTGCTATTGCAATAATGCAATTGTCAAGAGACAAGTGACAATACTGAAACTTGCTTTAATGGTGATTGTGAGGAAGGTGAAGTCGTATTCGGTGACTTTTTCCTTGTAGGTGTCTTTAATGTAGGTGCAGTGTCTAACATAGTGATCTGAAATGATGAACTGATACCAGGCAAGATCTGTGATTGTAAAACCGGCTCACAAAAACAGTTCTCCTTATATTTATTACGGCCCTACTACAAACATATATTTTCCAAGACTCACGAAAACAAGCATTTGGCACCCTTTTCCAAATCACGAGTCAAATACGGAATTAAAAATTCACTTGAAAGTGGAAATTTTTACAGCTTACTGGTTTCGAGGGAGGTGAACCAAATATCGATGAACCTAAACCGGAGTCGGCGAAACTCATAGAACGTCTTGAACGTTTTCGTTCGGGTGTTGTTAATACGCTGCTTTTAGATGGCCACTGAAAATGACCTTTATATGTTACACTTCTCCGGCCGGCGCCCTCCCTTTCCATTGCTTTCATTGTTTGACCATCAACCTGGAATTTGGAAAAAAGTGATTCAAAATATACTACGTACCGTACTTCCAATAATATGGAACTCAAACCATCTTTACTCTCATCCACTACGCTTTTGTAAAATCAGGATGAGACAACCGGTCCAGATTTTATTATGTAAAGAGCGGTTGTCTCGGGATCTATCGACATGGTGATCACGATGTATAAGGGAAAACTCTTATACTGGAAAAACACATGCTCGAGTAATATAAGAACAGAGAGAAATGGGACTTTTAGTAAGACCGGTTTAACCGATTGATGTGTTAAATTTTCCCAACCTAGCACAAATGCACTTTCATATAACATAATGTCACACTTTTACTTACAGTAGTAACGTAGTCTTACTATCACCATATGCAATATACGTCCCTTTCAGTTACAAAGAAAGGTGTTTTAAACATACGCTGAAGAAAATATAGACCAATCCTTAACGTTAACAGAGATCAAAACTCTCATCCAATGTATATGTAGTAAGCATTTACGGATCTAGTTTCACGACAATCTCAGCTTCCGGATATTCAACCAGGAGTAAAAAATCCGTAAAGCTCCCCCTTCTAAAACCATCAAACTTAACCTTTAAATTCAAATATGCCTGCAGCAAATGTCGCATAACGGGGATTAGGTAAAGCGCGGCCCTCGCGGTGTTTGCTGTGAAACTTTTTCCATCGCACTGAGAGGAAACTGATGAAGGACGTACGGGTAGGTTAAATTGTTTCAATTTGCTTACAAATTGCCCATTTTACCCATCCACTACCCTAAGGATGGGTAATGCCTTTGAATGCGTAAAATGAAACCAGTTTAATTAAAATTTGGAAATAAAACTAGTTAAAGCGCCAAATGCTGTAAGTTTTTCATATCATTTAATTGATAAAAAGATAACGACGGAAAACATTAGCAATTCTTTTATGAAAGGAATAAAGTTAACCTCAACAGTCTTGAGTAATTTCCGGGATGTCTTATAGGACTTTACGATGTTTTTCCTCATTTTTTTTCCTCTTCCTCTCTTTTTACTTCTTGTCTCTTATCCATCGCTCTCCACTTTCCCTGCACCATCTCAACTGATGTTTATTGCTCTAAAAGTTCGATTCCCAACTAAAATTCCAATTTTTACTAAGTACTCAATCCTCTTCAAACCATATATGTGCAAAAATATCGAAGGTAATTCTGAAATCACCAAATTAATTAAGGTAAAATTCCTCTATCCAAACCTTTTCCCAAGCTTCAGTTATAGAAATTTCCTGAACTGGGTCAAATTATTCAAAACAAATGATCATATTATTATGTAGGATGGAATTTTTCACAAAAATTAACAAAATATCAATATCATATGCTCTAAGATGCATGAAAAATGAAGTCAAAAAATCGGATTAAGTGAACCGATCAAGATGGTTTTATTCGATTACTTGTATATCAGAGATGATCAAATTATTGCTCGATCTTGATCTTAGTCTTTCATTTTCTATCTTCAAATCTTATACAATTATTTATATAATTATATAATTTATTTATACACTTTATAATTTATTTACTTACTTATATAATTCTTAATATGTTGCGAAATTAATCATCTCTTATCACTAACATTGTAGTTAGAAGAAGGAAAATGAAAAAAGTAGGAGAGGAAAAAAAAAGAAAATGAGGAATGTTAATGATAAATGTTTGTTTGCTTTGATATCATAGAATTATTTTGATTCATTCAAATTATTTTTGGGAATTATTCCCAGTGATTCAAATTATTCATGATAATTACGGAAATCAATGTGAATTATGCTGATAGATAAAGCAGCAATTTATAATTTTAACTTAACTAACCTAATCATACTTAATAAGCGTTAGCAGTTTGTATCCGAAAGTAGCTCATTAATTAATTTATTGAATAGAGGTAATAAAATAGGTTAGTGGGATAATCAATTAGTAACAATAAATTTTTTGATTGTCATAAGTCTTTTTAAAAATTTGAAAAGAAGGAAAAATTTTAAATAAAACTTATTTACTCTAAATTTAAAAAAAAGAAATAAAAAAAAACGCTTTTTTCAATTATTCATAAGAACTAGTACTTACCAATCGGACATGTATGGTTGATGGTAATGATTGATTCTCGATATCAATTCTTTTCATGTTATAATGATGATGATGACACAATGCTATTTACGCAATTGTTGGGAGCTGTTAGTAGTGGTCGATCGAGTGGTCGAGGTCACGGTAATCCTCTACCTCTCTGCTGATCGATTTTTTCGGGATTCGTTTTTTTTTGTTTTGTGGTTTTTGTTTTTTTTCTTGTTTTCCGATATGAGGTTTTCTAGTTAAGAGTTATGGTTTGCCATAATTATCGCTTCGATTCTATACCCATTGTATCTGACATGATTCCATCTAACATTACGATAGTGCATTTAATACATCCCACCCATCACCACTTTTCCGACACATTCTGAGCGAATGACCTTTGACCTTGATGGGATTACTTTAAGGATAAAACCATTTAGTGCAATAGTACATATGATTCGGGTGACCATACTTTCTTTTCGATGTCTTTCTCGTTATTACCATTAAATAAATGGAAATTTTCAGAGAAGACAAAAAAAAGAAAAAAAAAGAAAGATTGGACACTAATGTGAGGTTGGTAAACACAAATTGGCCACTAGGCTTATTCCAAGCTTGAACCTGTATTTTATCGGATTTGCTGCATTGCACTTCAGTAATTGCAATTAGAAGCGAAAAATTAAGCTTATTCAAATTGCACACCTTTTCAAGGTCGTCCTATTTATCTACTTTATCCTAAATGTTAGCAAGTAAAGATGTTCAATGTTAGATGTCTCCAATTAATTTTATTATTGAAAGAATTCATTTCATTTTCTACATATTCTTAACTATGGTAATTTAAAAATTATTAAAACTTCGGGATGTTTCTTTACAATAGCAAAAAATAATGAGATTATTGCGTGAATTTTAGGGGTTCAAATTTTCAAGAGTAGCATTTCGGATGAGAAATTATCCGGATCCGAAATAATTGATCCAAACAATAACACCAATCATTTTTCTTGCCCTTCTACTTTTCCAGAATTAGAAGAAACTCGTAATATTAATTATTGGATTTCAAATAGTTGTAATCCAATTTGAAATTTATTTTTTGTATGGACAAATATCCTTTACAAATTCATCTTTTCATCTTTTCTTCCTCTGCTCTTAAATTGCGAAAAATTTATGGCTTTTCAAAATATTTGCAGTATTTGTGAATGACAATTTTTACCACAATTATTGGCCATTTAATGTTATTGCTATAAATAGAAAAGTTTTTATCCCATTGGTCTTTTTTTTTTTTGGTAAGTTTTTATTGCATTTATTTTTTAAAATTGTTTTTTTTCTTTTTGATCATACGATTATTTCGTGTTAATTCTGAAAAGCTTATTGTATGTTTCAGTTTCGTCATGCGAAATAAATCTTTCATATAATGAAATTTTATGTCTGATCATGGATGGAATTGAAATAATTAAAAATTGTCATCGAATATCATTACCGTCTCTTCTCTCTTTTTCCACATAATGTGAAATATTCGTTTTTGGGATTGGTAAAAGTTAGATGAAGAAAGAAGGAAAGGAGAAAAAAGCGGATGGGAGAGAAACTTAATACCTTCCATTTCTCTTTTTCAAGTAGAAAATAAAAAAGAAAAAAAAAGGAATTATATTCATGTAGACATTAAAACCTTATAAAAAACAGTTTAATATGCAAAAAAAGAAAAAAAAAACAGCCGACGAGATACATTTTAATTTCAATCTCGAAAATTAATGATATGAATGTGTAAGCGAACCCATCACATTATCATTCATTCATTCAATCATTTATTCATTCATCCCATTTATTCATTCCATTCCATCCCACTCCATTTTCCATTCATTCATTCCACTCCATTCCATTGGATGAATGGAAGGAATATTAAAATGATATAGGAAGAGAAAAACTTTTGTTATTCAAGATTATAAAAAAAAAAGGTTTCGTTCTTTTTCCTTTTTATTTTGTTTGTTGTTTTCACTGCTTTTTCTTTTTCTATAAAAAGATAGAAATTTTTTCTTTTTTCTATAGAAAGTGAAAATTTTTTTTTCCTTTTTCTTATGTAATAATGCAAAAGAATGAAATAAAAATAACCCTACATATAATAACTTTCGTTTTTTTTTCTATCAATATATTCCATTAATTTTAGTACGATTTGGTAATTTTATATTTCATTTCTAAATGTAAAAATACAGGAAACATCTTGAAGAAGAGGATATGTTTGATATTCGAAATTAACGGCTTTTTTTTTTAAACATCGAAGAATTAGAAGGAAACAGATGAAAGTGGATGTCAAAGATAGGGAGAGGGAGAGAGAGAGAGAAAGAAAGGAAGACAGGCATAGAGAGAGAGAGAAAGAAAGAAAGACAGGCATAGAGAGAGAGATGAAGAGGGAAAGGTAGGCAGGAAGAGTGAGAGAGGGTTGGGGGAGGGTGAAAGGATTTAATTTTAGGGTAGGTGTAGGAAATCCCGAAATTGTCATAGTCTTAAAGTCCCCTATCACGTCCCACATTCCTCTCCTACACTATAGTAGTCTCTTGTGTTTGTCTGCCGGATCAATCTTCCCTTTCACCATACAACCAACCTTCCATTATCTTCCTGTGCAAACAGTTGCGCCCATTATTATAACAGCTTGAACAGGACGAAGAGCTGCTGAAAATACCGAGAGATAGAGGGACAGGAAAGGAGAGAGAGGGAGGAAGGGAGGGAAGGAGAGGTTCATGATGATGGCAAGATGGATGAAATGAAAGCGAAGATGGAGGGGTGGTGAAAGGAGGATTGGCATTGATTAGATCACGACTCGATCGGGTCACGAAATGAAGCTCAAATTTTTCTTCACTTTTAATAATTGTTCCTCTGCTAGCTTAGCTGCGTCATCGTTGTTTGAAATACGAATGAATGCCGCATTGAATTCGACACACAACTAACTTTGTTAGCATATGTGTCTGTCGTGTCTGCATGGGTGTGTGTGTGTGTGTGTATCAGTTTTGTCAGCTATTTCTGATGGGGAATTGCCATGTAATCTTAAAAGTAGACGACTATATGCTTTGAAAAATCTGAAAACAAAAGCGTTCAGTTTTTAGGGAATTGTAGTAAAAACTCTCTCGCTCTGTCCTACATCCATCTCTGGTTTCTCTTTCTTGTTTTTGTTTTTTTTTCTTTTTCAATTTTTCATCATTAACAAGTTGAGGCTAGTAAATATTCTTGCAATTATGCAGTTTGCAGTTGCATCTACAATGCTGCTTTCAGCTAGCATCCTCTGATCCCCAAGTTTCATCTAATATTTCAACAAATGCCAAATACCAAATGTCTAGGAAATTAGATTAACCAATAGATCAAATAACTGTTAAATGCTTACTTTTTTACATTGATAATACACGGCTATATATTTTTTACGTGCATACATTAATTCTACACACAAATGCATGCATGCATTCCTCCTCCTTTTCTACAGTTATTTAAACAATAGGTGATTTGAAATTATTCGATAATCCCAGCTCTTCCATCAGACATCTTTATCATTCAAAATATCAGAATAATCTGAATAATTTTATGTTTAATTCGTCGATTTTTTTCATCCAAAAATATATACTCCAAATTAGGTACTCAATGATTAATCACTTATTATTATTCCACTAGAACAATGATAGTTAATAATAACAATAGTAATAATAATAGTAATAGTAATAACAATAATAGTAATAATAACAATAATAATAATAATAATATTAATGATAACAACAATAATAGTAGTAGTAGTAGTAGTAATAATAATAATAATAATAATAATAATAATAATAATAAATAATAATAATAATAATAATAATAATAATAATAATAATAGTAATAATAATAATAACAGTAATAATAATAATAATAATAATAATAATGGTAATAGTAATAATGATAATAACAATAATAATAATTATTATTATAGTAATAATAATAACAATTGTCGATGTCGTCGTTATTACCATTATTATTACTATTATTACCGTCATCATTAATCATTGTTGTTGCTATTATTATAATTTCCCTGAACTATTCTCCATTAGTTTATTGGGATAATTGTAAAAGTAAAGATATTGTGGTATGGAAATGATATGAAAGCAACATTTGCCTCATTTCCTTTTTTGCTTATTCAAAAGGATTAAAGGAAGGATAAAAGTGAAAATTAAACGAAATGAAATTTGTATTTCAACCTTTTACTGCAATTTTTTGATAAGAATAAATGAATGAAAAATTAAAAAAAAAAGGAAAAAGAGCTCCCAAAGTTTATAGGATTTCAGTCTCCTTTTTTTTTCTCCCTCTTCCCATACCAATCATTCCTTCTTGTTTCGGAATTTCATTATCAGTCGTCATTTCCATCCTTCTTTCTTTCTATTTTCTCTCCTTTCTTCTCCCTGTTTCTTTCTTTCTCTCTCTCTCCCTTGTTCTTATCCTGTTTATCCTTTCATGCGTAATGTTATTGTGATAAATATGATCATCTGTCAGATATGTCATACTTTCCACTGATCTATCCCTTTTTTCCTTCGTATCCGTTAAATAATTTTTCTCTCTCCCTCTATCTGTAAGTAAAATGAAAGAAAGAGAGAGAGAGGGAGGGAAAGAAAAAAGAGTGCGTCAACATGAAGCAAAATTGAAAATAAAACCAAATTTTTGCTTTGCTCAAAAAATGAATCATTTAAACAATGCTTAGCCAGTTTTGTACACCATGAAATGCACTGAGCATTTCCTTTCGTCGTTTGATGTCCGGAAGAGTTGAAAAAAGAAATCGGTGTGGAAAGTTGAAGGAAGTAAGGTAGGATTCTCGAGAATTGAACCATTCGAAATTATCGAATTATGCCAAAAATCAGACCAGAATGGAATTACGAATTATACCTATCATTCTGGACGACTGCATTTTGCGCAAATCGTTCTGAAAATCTCAACCTTTCAAATTTTGAAATTTTATCAGTTGGTTGCTGAAAAGTTTCGGAAATGCGAAGTGATACTAATTTCGATTTATAAGTTTTGATGCTCGGGATACATATTCCCTGCATTGCTCTCAATTTTCGCTCCATTACACGAAATGATATACATAAATATATCGGGAAGTGAGCAAATGTCCCAACGTTGTATCTTTTCAATGAATTTCCACTTCCATTTTTGATATATTTGTATCGAATGCAAATTTTTTACTAAATTTACCGAGTAAGATTTTAAATTTACTAAAACATTTTCACGTTTAAAATAATCTTTGGACGGAATGGAAAGAATTATTGTGTAAATATATCGATGGTATCGGAAGATTTTTTCATTTTTTCAACGACTTCAATCCATTCTTTTTCGTTTCGTTTTATGGATTGTAGTTCGTTGTATAATAATTTGGTTGTCATCGATGAGTCTCCATATTTTTCGGTCAACAATTTTCGCACAACTTCATAGTTTTCCGGGGCAATATCAAAACCTCTTACGGCTTGTAGTGCTGATCCTTTTAAACAGGAGATTAAGTAGTTTAGTTTTTGGATTTCCGGGATGGTTTGTGAGTGGACAGCAGCGTTAAAGCTACTCCAAAAATCTCTCCACTGTCGTGGGTCGCCATTGAGATAATTGAGGTTGACATTAACATAGGTAGGTGGAATTGGCTTCGATATCTCCGTTGGTAATGCATGCTGCTGGTTTGGAACTGGTGTTAGTTTCTGAATTTCGGAGTCAATTTCCTTTTGATATATAGTTGAAGTAATGACGGCTTCTTTTGCTTCATATATTAAATTAAAAATTCCTTGCTCTGCTGCCGTTACTTCATGACATTTCTCCTCCTCCTCCTTTTTTCTTGATGTGGTAAGGGACTTTGGAAGATAATCGATCCATCTGTCATTCGCTTCTTGAAATGATTGGATGCACATGTGTAGCCTCATAATTTTTTCTTCAAAAGGTCGCTTTCTAGCTTCATGTATTTGAAGTCGTTCTGAACATGGGGAACTTTGTTCTGGCAATCCGACATCTAGTACCCTTCTTGGAGGATGTTTACTAGTCGATTCCTGACGGGTTTTATACTTTCTAGTATAACAGAAGTCATATCAATAAGGATTTCCAATTACGATTATTTGTTATGGCTAATATCAGTAGTACCTCGAGCACCAAAATTTTGTCATGACAAAAATTATGAGAAATTAGAAGATGAGGATTACTGTTCTTGTTAGTAATAAAGCAATTATGTTTTATAAAAAAATGACTTACTGAATACTGATTGGTTATGTGTTCGAGGAGTATAATAGTTATCCCTTATTGTTGTTCAAATAACAAGACAATAAAAACAGGTTAGAAGTAATTCCGATTATAGTATAATAAAATTCAACTTAACGTAGAGTAACGGCAGAAATATTGAAGATTCGTAAACGGAGAGGAAATAAATCGGGATTGTATTGAGTAGGGTTGAGTGGCGATGGGGAGAAAATTAACATTGAATCTTGTTAGAGATTCTTAGGGTTTATATATAGGATGTGTGAAAAGGAACAATCATTACATATTGACAGTATTCTCACATGTGCAAGAGAAATTAACATGTAAGAACAGTTTTCTTTAGAAAAAATTGCGTAGAAATTACTTTATCTCATGTACAGCTTTCTCACCATTGTATAAAAGATTTTGCATGGGATAAAGCCTTTACAAATTAGTTACCAGATATGCACAGATCTTAACATCAAAAAAAGCACTTTTAGTAGATTAGATAGCTGACTCATGACTTTAGGCATGAGAGAAAAAAAAAATGTAAATGCGATCTATTTGAATGAATGGTTTTGTGATACAGCTATTTCGGTTTTTCCGACAGATAGTATTTGATGAGTTTGGATTATCATTCAAATAAACCAACTTATCATATCCACTATATTCAAGTGAAGAATGAAGGTTTCGTTTTTGTTCGACTGAAATTCGATGAATTTTCGCATTCTCAAATCTGGAATTGTTAGTTATTTAGGATTAAAGTGATTGTGGATGAGACAAACAGTGAATACGACGAATTTGTTATATTGTAATTATGCTAATTACATTCATTTGGTAAAATTGAAATTTGCAACTACGAATGTTTAGACAACAGTTTTTTTATCATCGTTTTCAAAGTATACCTATTTGATAAACCAGCTTTGACAAGTTAATTTAATCAATTAACAACAACAAAAAAAAAGTTAATTGCCTAGGAATGTTAACATACCTGAAAATAGCGACAACGAAGTCTTTTGAAATGATAATTGTGATATAAATTTTCTTGTACAAGGTTTATTTCTTATTTCAAAATTGCCAGCGTGTATTTCTTTCTTATTTAATATAAAATTGAATTTGGTTTCAATCAACTGAATTTAATTTCGATTAATTCACCCACTTTTTTCTTTTTTATTCATGCTTTAAAAATAAAAGGGAGGAAATTGAACAAAGCATTGGAATTTATTTTGAAGAATAAATAATTTTCGGTTAAATTTGGAGTAAAAACGGTTAATGAATGGATCAGTGGATGTTTCACCCTATTATTTACACAACTTATCTTCATTCCTTTCTTTCTAATTATTTTAATTTATTTAATGGATAATTAATATTATCATCCACTTTTTTCTCACCGTTATTTTGTGATAAGTTGAACTTCCCCGTTTTCATCTGTGTCTCCGCTTATAATTTATCTTTTCCGTTTTACATTCTATCTTTCTTATCGATGATTCGTTTTCCTTTTTTTTTGCTCCAACAAAAAAAAAGTTAAAAACCCTTTTGAGAAAGCGTTTTTTTCTTTTCCAAGATTTAAAACTATGTTCCATTCATTTCTTTTTTCTTTTTCTCCCTGTATATACTTATCTGTATGATTTAGACTTGAAAATTCTACTTTTGGAAAGATTTTTCAAAAAAAAAACAATTACCAATGGCATGAAATGGATTTTATAACGATGTCCTTGTTCCTTCTTTCCTTCCTTCCTTCCTATCTTCCTTCCTTTCTTTCTCTCTCTCTCTTTCTTTCCCTTTCTCTTCTCCCCTCCTCTTTCTCCTGCTCTTCATTTCTCTCCCTCTCTCTCTCCCTCTTTCTCCCTTTCTTTATTAGCTATTTGTAAGTGGAATGAGGAAAAATTATGGTGATAAACAAGAGGCTTTGATTTAATGATTCAACTATTCCCTCTCTCTTCAAGCTATTGTTCTTTCTTTTTTTTCCTTGTTATCCTTCTGCTTCATCACTCTGTTAATGGTCAGAAATAGAAACCCGCCCTCTGCCCTCCCGGTTAGCTTGACTTCTTCGGCTCTCCTTCATCATTTCATTGATTTATGATGATAGATCGAGAACAGTGAAGAGATCGGGAGGAGTGGGAGGAATCCCGTCAATTCAGGATCGATCATTTTACTGCACTATCCATTCTGCTATTGTCATCGACCTTGGTCTACTTCCCCATCAAAAATCCACTACCGCTTTTTTCAATTATCATTTATTACACTCAATACAAACATACACACACATACGTACACACACGCACACACACACAGGCATACACACACACATAACATACACATACACATATACACACACATACACATATACATGCATGTGTTTTTTAGGTAAATCAGAAAAGTAATGTCTTACAAAACTGTTATACAAACTATGCAGCATTTACTATTATTTCAAAACAAAGGGAAAACTTTAAAAAATATCCTTTTCCTCCGTCTTCCCTTTTTTCCCTCTCTCCTTGTTTTTCTTTCTCTTCCTCTCCTAACCTCTTTCATCCATTTATATTTGATAAATTTTTCTTTCCTACATTTAATTATTGTGACATTAGGAATGCTTTAAATATTTCGATACATTGTGCATATTTCAAAGACATTTGTGTATTAATGAGATAAATATTTCTCCAGGAAGTTGAAACATGAATGGCTTTTATTCAATCAATTATCAGTATTTAAGTATGTAAGTTGTGAGAGTAAGTGTATGAGATAAAAGGGAATGGTAAAGTTAAAAAATAAAATGACAAGCTCATTGATCTATTTTTATGATCTTATTGATCTTATTGATCTGTGAATATAATATTTCGATCTCATTTTTGGAACAATCCTTCCCAATGAACCATGCGTGTTTTGTCGATTTCACAGTGTTTCTGTTTACTTTATGATCCATTAGTTTCATTTCTCCTTTTTTTTGATTTCGAAAATTTTGATTAGCAGTATTTTTTACTGAGACAATACTGCTTGAGTGTTTGGTTTATTAATCTTGAAATGATTACTAACATAATGTGGCATGAGGGAAAACTGCTCCACCATTTCTGTTAATATTGAATACGTGTTCTTACATGAACTTTTTTACAACCAGATTACGATTCCTTAATCATGAGGTCATTCCGTTTGAAACAATCCGTTTTATATCACTTTGCTTTTTTTTCTTTTTTTAGAGGTGAAAATTTGTACTATTGGTGCGTAGTGCAGATTTTTCACCCAAATAAGTAAGGTCTTCAAATCTTTAAAGTTTAATTTGCCATCTGGAAAGTTTCGTTTGAATTAATCTGTAGCACCTAACGGTTTCTTTTAGTCTACTTCCCGCGTAGGATTTTCAAGTTTCACACAGGGCCTGTTATTTTCCGACATCCCGAGAATATTCCCGCCTCACCGTTGACGGAATCAAGGGCATTCCTGTAAGTGGTCATTTTGAGCCCTCGTTTCGGTGGTTTCCGGAGTTCTGAGTAGTAGAGTAGTGATGAGCGATAGCTACTTTGGTCTAGTCAGATGGTTTATTGTTAGTTGAGGGGTGTCAGAGTGGGCTACACCGATCGATAGTTATACCTCAACAAGCGACCATTGGAATGGAACGTATAACGATGGGTCCTATCGATCAATAGTTATCTCAACATCCAGCGATTGAAGTGATCGGTTTGCATGTCGGGATTATTCGAAAGTTCTCGAAATTCAAGGGGATTTTTTCATCTTTGGGATTGAAATTTTGATGGTAGCTTAAATTTAATCTGTATTCTTTTAGCTTAGATTTCTCTGAAATTTCTTTTTGTCTTTACTGGGATAAGGAAAGATAACATCCGAAAACTTCAAATTAGTTGGGAAGACGCAGTGTTAAATGGAAAGATTAATTAATCTCTATAATTGAGATCCTACCGATAACCAGTCAGTGAATTAATGCAATTTCATAATGATTGGCATTATCACAGTTCACCTTTTCATATAGTTCTGACCTGGGGATCTGGAGGCCTGCGGACCGAACGCGGCCTCTCAGCAAGTTTATTTTGTCCGTACAGCTCAGGAAAAGCTTGTCGCCGCTCCTTTCCTTTACCTTGGTCGAAACCTTCCAATGTTGAAGTCCGTTGATCTTTCATCACAAGTTCACCTTACCGTTAAATAATGATGTAATTAAATTCTCTGCATTTTCAGTGGATCCATTACAATGTTCCATTCACTCTTTTATATGTGTATATATATACATATACACATATACATATATATGTGTATATGTATGTACATATATATACGAATACGGTACTGGGTAGAACTGAGTCAAGTACATTAGTCTGGCCCTCGAAAACCATTCCAGTTTCTCCTCTGGCCCTCTGGAAAAATTAGTTGCTTACCCCTGATATGGTTCATGCAACATCATTTCTCATATCTGACCGTATTCTTCAGGGGTCGTGTGGCATTATCTTCCGTTTATCAGTCTCTACCGTTTATTTATTCTGATTATCTTCATTTTTCCATCGTTTGTCATGGTTGGGCAAATATCAGATTTATGAATCATCATTTGATGAACGTAAAATTAATCGAATCAGGAATTTCATTGCTGGTTTGCAGTTTTTTCAGCGCTTCTCAAACACTGAACACTCTGTACTTTTTGTCCAACATGTCATCATGAACTATATGTGCAGCATGCAAGTATGTGTGACACTGTTATAACTCATATATCCAGTAGAAGCAAGTTTAACGTCTATGCTTTCAAACGTCAAGATAGTCATTAAATATTCTTAAAAATTAGGTCAAGTTAGGTTGATATTAGTTGTCTTCTGATGTCTATTGATGTTTGGTTTCTAAAATTATTGTAATGTTAGAATGTTACGTTGAATATCTTTTATTTTCCCTACAAGAAATACCTGTTTTCGGTTGTAGATTATGCAAGCTTTATATCAGTTATCGGCCAGTGCAGCACCACAAGCGTTCCAGAGTCCTGGTCAGCCGCCTGTTAATCTTGCTGCTATGAAACAGTTCATGCAAGCCGGCGTTTCCCCTGTACTTTTACAACAAATCCAGGTAGCGCAACAGCAGCAGCTTGCTGCAGCTTCTGCAGGTATTCATGAATTTATGGGTACTGAAGTTTTTTTTGAAATAAATTTCCAAAATTCCTCTGAAGGTGATTAAAATATAGAGATCGAGGATAGTTCCATGGATAAAGGAATAAAAAGTTTGCTTTTAAACATAAGCAATTTGCTTGGTATGTTGAAGTGATTGATTGAATTTGATTTTTGTGTATTTATGCTGCATGTTGGTAAAGTAATTTCTTGTAATTGGGCGAAGTGACCAAATCAAATACATGCAAAAAAATGCAGTTTAAAAAGGAAAAATCGCTACATTAATTCATCCATTAATATTCATAAGCAGTAGTACCAGACATTCTCGTGAATTTCGCAGGAATACTCTGCGTTGTAAGGTGCTAACTGATGGGTCAATAGATATATAAATTCAATACTTTTTGGACTTAACTTTAAGGAAGGGAAAGTATAGAAAAAACAGGAAGTAGTTTTTTTCTTCTTTGGTAATTAAATGTTTTTGGAGGGGAGGAGAATAAGGATGTCATTCGTGTTTAGCTTGATCAAAAGCTTGCTTAATCGAAATTGTTATTTGAGGTTCCTAATGTATCTTCCAGATACATGTCATAGTTGCTCCAAATTCATCTTCCATCCACGAATACTGAGCAGTCAATATCCAATAATTAGGTGATGAAGCACCCACCAAGGCATTCTGGAAGTACTGCGATGACAAGCAATGACGGAAAATATTTTCATATTGCAGTTGTGGCATATGCTATTTTTATCCACCATTTAATGCTTCTTTTTCCAGCCAAACATTTGTGGCAAAGAAAGTTAATTTGCAGCAGCTGCAATGCATCAGTCGGGTGGTTTGCTTGCAGCACCGGTAGTTGGTACAGTTGTTTCAAATGCAGAAGGCGAGAAACAGGATGAGAAATTAGCACGAGAGCAGTATGATCTCCAAGTTCAAATGCAAATGGCTGCAGTTGCAGGGATCGGCCCACAGATACCGCAGCCTTCTACAGTTTGTTGAAATTTATATGCTGCAGAATATTTTAAATAAGTAAAACTCTGAATTTTGCTGAAACACAAATTCATCCAAAAATCTCTTCATTTGTAAAACTGGCCTAAAACTTTTTACTTCTCAGTATTATTTCAAAATTCCTTTAGGTTCAGTCACAGCCAGCTCCCTCAAACGCTTTAACAACACCGGATCCGTCCACTTCGTCAAATTCTGTCGATGGTGCGCCTAAACGATTGCATGTATCAAACATACCGTTTCGATTCCGTGATCCCGATTTAAGGGCAATGTTTGAGAAATATGGGCCTGTAACTGATGTTGAAATAATATTTAATGAACGTGGTAGTAAGGTAATTGTGGGTTTTTTTTTTTTGGAAGAATAACTTTTTGTTACAGTGATTAACGAAGAATGCATGTCTCTTGTTTTGTTAGCTAATGTAAGTTTGTTTTCTATGATTCTAGGATTTTTGGGTGAAGCAAGCGTTGTTTATCTAAATCGATTGCAAAATTTTACAGTTTAGTTTTGCTTCCAATTTTTTTGCTTTATTTCAGGGATTTGGTTTTGTGACTATGGAAAAGTCAGCAGATGCGGAGAAAGCTCGACAAGAATTGCATGGTTCTTCTGTTGAGGGTCGCAAAATTGAGGTTTGCTTGTTTATCATGCACCAAACCAAACCAGATCAAGCCATTAAAAATTCGGCTTCTGGTTGTTCCATGTCTTGGTTATTACGGAACGTTTAGTTTGCCGGGTATGATGCTATTGCTAATCTATTTCCCTGGTGTATCCTGCAACACTTTCCTGTTATGAAGTTCGAGCTTCTGGAATATACCTGAGCATGAACTTTCCGGTACCTTCTTATACTACAGATTTTCCACCTTTGGTTCTAGGTCAGAGTTTTCCACATATTTTCGACTTTTCCTGGTACATTGTTATTGCTGCAAACAGCAATGAAATCCCCTTATCCATGGGAATTCATTCTTTTTAATACTTTCGATCCCGGAAAATTTTTTCTTCAAGACTTCAGTCTATCTCATTTTACACAAGTAGCTTATAGTATAAATCGTACTCCTTACACTTTGTGAATGCGGGAAAAGACCAGGTCTTGGAGATCAGTCATGAACGTTAGACCGTAGTGTAGGAAATGGATATCACATCTTTTTTTTTCATCACTGGGTAGAAAAAACTTTTAGCTGGTCCTCAATACCTTTTCCTGAAATTAATTAGATTTCTAGTTGTATCTGAGAGACCTACATATAGCGTTTGAAGTCATTAAAGAAGTGATAGATCTAGAAGATGATAAAAGCAAAGGTAAGAGACAAAATAAACTTTTCTCCCAAAGAGCTCTTAAAGCTCTTAACAAGTCCCTAAAATTAGAGATATCCGAAATCGGGGATGGCTAAATTCAGCGAGCAAGCTGCGAACCTGGTGTTGAAAAATCGAGATACTTATAATTTTGGGTATCCTGAAATCCAACAGAGGAGAGCAGCTGTGATGGTAAATGCACTTGTTTAATCCCATTTTTTGAATCAAAACAATATTTTCTATTGAGCATGACGCTTAATAATTGTTATTGAAATTCACCGTAGGGGGCGCACATACGTTTTTGGGATCGTCTAATTGTGTTTGCTTTACACAGAGAATTTGCATCCTATTGCATTTCTGTATTTTAATTTTTTTTTTTTAAACGGACTTTCACTAATCCTTGCGCGCTCGGATCTTTTTTGATTATATTTAAAGTTTCCTGATCCTTTGCATGGCTACCCATTGAAGTGTGGAGAAATCAAACACTTAATATATATGCTATATTTTGAAATAAAAGACAGCTATATATATACATATGTACATATACATGTATATATATGTATACATATACATATATATATATATATATATATATACATATATATGTACATATATATATATATATATATATATATGTATATATATATGTATATATATGTATATACATATATGTATCAAAACGACTATATCTATTGCTTCCATTCCGTCCCGGACGTTACCAAGTATTCCAGCAAGCTTTTTTCCCCATCACTGGGCGACTTTTACTTCC